ATTTCAAAGTACTACTGAATTTCAGTTAAAGCAATGTATTTATAATAAGAATATATAGATTACATGGTTTTATTTTGTCCGTCTTGAAAGACAGTAATTTGTTATTTAGTTAAAAATATTTGTTTAAAATTTGATTTTAAATAATATTATATATAATATTATATAATTTATAAATGTTATAATGTAAACACAAATTCTCAGCTTTTATATCTTATATGTAGTTTATAGATTATTTTACTATTAATGCTTAAATATTTCGTTAAATTTAAAAATTACATTTTAAGTTAAAAATTAAATTTTCTTAGTCTCACCCTTATATATAAAATATAAATAGCTTCTTAATCAATAGAATAAATATTCCTTAAAAATTATGAAATCTTTAATAACAAAAATTGTGTATTGAGAAAATAAAAGTATTTCGCAAAAAAGGCAACAATTCTTATAAACGTGGACAATGTCTTGATAGTAGGTGATGCCGTAGGAAGTTGCGCTTGCTATTTTATAGATGTCCTGCATTCGTTTGTACCGTAATGTGCGTTCACACATAATTCAATGTAGATGCAATCTGCGGTTATCAGCTTCCACCACATGGGGTTCGTATCTATTCAAGCGTATAAAAACGTTCTATACCTTAATGCGTGGCTATCTATTTCTATCCTATAGCCATCCACAATTCATTTTAAATTCTATGCGGTGGATTTTGCACAGATACGTGATCATGCACAACGTATTCAGGTAGAAAATGAAGAAAAGTGTAAATGTATGATGGTCTATGAAAACTCATGATTCTGAGTTCACGCTAGCATATTGACTTAGTTCAGCATTAAATTCTTAACTATAATCCATTACAATCATACAACTATAATTATATAATCTATTTTTAAAACAAAAAGAATTCAATCAATTTATATTCTTTTTAAAGATTTTTCGTATAAAGTAGTAGATGAAATAATTAGGATTTTTAATAAACAATCCACTTTTTGTATAATTTATTAAAAAAGTGTATGCAATATTTTCAATATGACACCTTACTTGTACGATTTTCATTTTATTAATCTAAAAATTTTCATTTAAATTTAATATTTATTCATTAATTTCAATATAATAATATAAATATTAGATATAATACTTTCAACTGTCTCTCAATATAATAATTCATTAATTTTATTTTATTCTATGAAAAATAAAGAAATTTAATATAGTTTAACTAATTTTAGTGATTAATTTTACATGCATGTTTTACATTATGATACATACTATTAAATTGTTATTAATTATCTAAAAATTATATTTTCAAATATTATAACATCGACAAAATAATATAGTAAGTATAGATGACACATATAAACTTTCTTAAAATAGTCAAATAGATAATTTGTGAAGTTTTAATAAATATGTTATCTTTTGCGAATAATATATTTATAACAATATTGGATGTTTGTAATAATATTTACACATCAAGTTTTTGAAATTAAAACAAAAAATTAGATGAATTATATAATTAATTTTCTATTTTTTTTATTATACGAACAATTTTTATTTGTATACAAATCATAAATTTACATATAATGACATGAACACAATATGTATGCTTATATAGATTATATTGTTCTCTAAATATACTTGTTATTGTCTATATACTCTCTATATTGTCTAAGAATATACCAATATGGTGGTTCGTCATATTTTCAGAAAGTTATTGTAGTCAAATGTAGTAATTGGTAGTAGTTTCTAAGTTTCTTTAGAATTCTTATTCTCTCAAACTGCAATAAATAAATATGGTATTGGTTAATGTATTAAAAATGGTACTAAGCATCTAGCGTACTTATCTATTACGCAAAAATATTTATCTATAAAAATGCTGGTTTCCTGTTAATCAATTCAGTAATTAAAATATATATAATCTATATTGGTGTTCTGTATCCGCTATAATTTATATTGATATGATAAAACAGTAAATCTACTTGATGTAAAAAGTTAGTACAATTGCCTCAATTATTTCATTAAGGATCAACAACTCTGTTATTGGATAAATTAATTAACGAACATCAGAAAATGTTTCTATTCTTTAAGGATTCTACTTCTATCTTAACGGACAGGTGAAAATTGTATTGATAAACACAACTATAATTAATGCAGACTTTAAAAGTAAGCTCAAAGAATCAAAACAAAAATAATATCTAACAATGTTGTCTACCCAGGCATATTATTTTAAAGTATTTATAAGTATTACTCTTGCAAAGCTAGATGTGTATTGGATAAATGATAAACATAAGGTTACACAAAATTTAAAATTCTTAAATACTAAATGTTGCGACGTGTAAACTAAAAATATGAAATGCTGAAAAACTTATTTGATTGTTTTGCTGAATACGTATCAATATTAACAACCAGATATTTTTCTAGATATTAAGAATTAATGACGATCTCTTTATTATATGAAAAATGTTTTGAAATGTATGATGTTTTTCATAATTCACATAAGGAAGAAAATAAAAATTTTATAAAAATAAATTATATTATTACAATTACATGATTTACTGTAGTAGGCGTAACTTATCATTATAGAGAAAAATTGTTGTAATTTTAGTTTGGGATTGTATGAGTTTAATTAAATTACTAAACACGACTTATGATTATTTATGCGCTTATAAGAGTTGTTTATTAATACTATATTTCCTGTGCATATATATTAAAAAAATGTACATAAATAATTAAATAAATCTCTGCACAGTAAAATGTAACTTACATAAATACAAAATAGCATCACATACAAAATATTTGAGTAAAATAAAATTGTAAATTGTAAATACAAAAAACAATAAAAACATTATTGTAAATAAAAAGATTATGTATTATATAATTATATGTATTATAACTACATTCAATTTTATGGGGTTATAATAAGATATTCAAAGATGTCTTTGCAAAAAATATAGATTTTGGAAATAAACCAAAAAAAAATTCATGTTAAAAGGAAGTATTGAATATTGTGATCTACGTGTCATAATTTAAATCCACATTGATGCAAAAGTTTCATTTATATATTATCAGGTAACATAAGTGATAGAGAATTTGTATTAAAAACTAAATTGAAAGTATAAAAAAAAAATAGAAAGTTTTTTAACTAATAATAATTTGTATAACTAATAATAAGATACACTTTTTTATTAATATTTTTGTAAATTTCTAATTTCATAGTAAACTAAAATGTCTAAAACATTCAGTGGATCATTCTTAAATATTTACTAACAAAGTTTTAATTTTTAATTTTTAATTTTATTTTAAAAATATTGAATTTATTTCTTCAACCGGTTAATTTATTGTAGAGAGTAAATAATTTAGAATTAAAAATACAATGGAAACTAATTGAAAAATTTATTTATTAAAAATATTTTAGTTCATACAATTTTTTGGTCATTATTTTAAATTTATATTTAATATTTTGCTTTTAATATTATTTACAATTATAAAATTATTTATTTTTCAAATTTTACTACATTTTATAATAACATATTATTATTTTAATATTGTTTTTTATTTGATTTTATAATATTTTGAATTAGAATAAACTTAAACTAAATAAAAATATTATATAAAAGTTTTTATAAAGTAATTTATTCAAAATTTATATAAGAAATAATATTAAAATGAATCAAATATAAACATTATAACGTAAAAGTGTACTTAATTTTATATAATATAGTTATATTTCAATAGCAATATTATATTTATATTTAAAAATATAATAAAAATTTCTTTAAGTCCAGTCATTCAGTATTTTTAAAAGATTTTTCTATGCATTTATTTACAATATTAAATTTGAATCATTTTCACCACGATAAAGACAATTCATTTGCAACATATATTTTCATCATAAAAGTTTTTTTTTAACATTACTATGTCTTATCTTGAGGTGTCTATACAGTAAAGGATTTTGTACGGTAAATGACCAAAAATAATTTATCAATATTTGATTCAATTAATATTTTTATACACAATACTTGTTTTACAATTTCGCCCTCAAACAAGTTAATCATTGGTACGTTGTAAAATAAATAAATGACTATTGGTTTATATAATATACAACTGTCACTAGTGTATACACGGACAAATTATCTTCAATCTCATCTTCATTCAACAATCTTCAATATCGATTAATTTCTTCAGATGAATGAAGCCATTAGGAACATGAAAGTCACTTGAAGTATCGATGACATATTGCTGATGCTTGAGGATTCATAAGTTGTACGAAACATCTTACAATTCGTATAGTTATTTTCTGGTAAAACAGTGTAGTTTGGAAACATTTGAATAGAAGTTTCCTGTAAATATATTTCAAAACATTAATGTTTTAATAAATTATCTTATATTTGCATTAAAAATTTTTGAGTATTTCTTTTAAAATATTTACATCAAATAGAATAAATATTTTTCGAAAATTTGAACGGATTTGTACGAAATAAGTATTTATAAAGATTAAAATTATAATTATTATTTATTATTAAATGGGGTTGAAAAGTCACTGGTTTACGTATCTGGAAATAAATTAAATTAAATAGATTAATGTAAAAAATGAAAATTTATTTAATAATATTGAATAAAAGTATTACACAGAGTGATAATAGTAAGTATGAATTATATGCTTCATAGCCAATTGTTCAGTTTCCATGTACTTTTTATATTATTTAATTTATTAACGTTGTAAAATTCTTACATATATTAAGTTGAAAAGGGTAATAACTATTTTGTTCTAAAAATATTTAAGAAATATTTAGGAATTGTCCTAATAGCTATTTATTCAGTTATATTGTGAATAATATATACTAATAAAATAGAGTAATCCTTTTTATACAATACCAACCTAATGTTTATCACTATTATTATTGTACTATTGCATAATAAATCTTCGGTATTTCTAATGATAAGATCAATTTTAAACATAACCATTGAAATATTTATGGTCAATTACACAGATCTTCAATTTATTTGTACAGACATCAATTCGTCTTAATATCATTATCATAATCATCTACCTAAAAGGATTACCGTTAAAATAAATACATATATTAATAAAAAAAAATACAACACAAATATATAATAAATTGATACATTATAAACTATACTAATGTGTAGATATACGAGTATATCTATAACATTTAATTGTTTAGTACTATATTATCACTATCACTATTGATATAATAGTCAGCACTCTTTTCAATAACATTACAAATTTTTATTTAATTATTAAATATATTTGATGTATACGTAAGTGCGCGCGGGTTAGTATATTTCTGCAAAAGTGTCTACAAAATTATATTTTATCCACGAAATAATTGAACTTCTATATTCTAGTTTTATAAATATTTTAATGATTAAAATATTTTCTTACGATTCATTAATATTTTAATTAAAAAATTATCTTTTATTAATGAAAAATAACTAGTGAATATTTTAATTATCAAATTCAAATTATTTCAAAGTTACTAATATAGATTGCTTATATAATAATCTCAAAATTAAATATAGTATTATTTCAATTTATTTATTTTGTATTTTAACACTATTTTAATAATTCCATGAAACTAATAGGTTAATAATATCATAATTTGTTAATATTAAAAGATTTGTTCTATTAGAGAATATTAGAGAATATTGTTAATACTAAAAGATTTTTACTACTAGAAAATATATATTTTAGTATAAATGAAATAAAAGAATATGTATTACATTACTTTTTCTAATTTATTTTTAAAAGTATTAATTATTGTAAAAAATATTTTTAGGTAATATTAAACTAAATACTAATTTCAATAACAGATAAATTAATTTCGTTTGCATAAATGGTATACAATTTATTCATTTTATTAAACTTTAATTTATTTCTTGTTTTCACGACTTTAATGCAGAAGCATATAATATATTTAATATTATTTGTTGGCAAATATTTCAGAATAATGTTTAATTTTTAATTTTAAAATAGTTATATTTATAAAATCATTTTATCTAAGTGTTTATTAAAAATTCATTATTTATAAATAATGTTATACAAATTTATCTTTTTTATATGAAATTCGCCAATTTCTTCAATTGGCTCTAATGTCTCCAATTAAAAATGTTAATTTTAGTAAAAATTTTGGAAATACAAGTCGTGATACATATTTTTAATAAATTATTATTAATTAATAATTAAAATAAAAGTGATATGAAAATACTCGTATAAAAATATATCATCATTTTTTAATCTAGTTGCGGATTCATTAATGATCTTTTAAAAGAGGTACCTAATTTTTGTAACGTTTGTCAATTTATTATACTAGGAAAAATTATATGCTTCTCACTTAATTTCAATAATTTTCTACAAACTAAATTTTTTTATCAACTTTATATTATTAACTATATAACGAAATTTAATATTATTTAAAAGATAATGCTTAATTTTTATTTATTTTAATATACTAATATATTATAGATTCTTGATCGTTGAAACACTTTTATCGCAATTTTATCTTCCTCGTTATAATAACTTATTTAAAATTTGGTTTATAAATTTATTATATCTCATGTTCTTCTTTAAAATTATTAAAAACTTAGTCGTATATTAATTTTGATTTTTTATTATTATATGTATTATTTAAATAATGGTATATTTTTTAATAATTTTTTACTCGGGTTTAATTACATAATATATTGCTAATAAATTAATACTTTTATTGACTTCGTTAATTGAGCAAAATCTCAAGTGATGAATTTTTAAATATTTATTAATTAGCAATTTGTCGTAAAAAGAACTTAAAGAAAATAATATAAATTTTTTCTATTTGGTTAATTAGAATTTTTAATAAATATTACTAATGATTGTTTGTTTTCAAATTTATTAAATATAGCTTTAATTTTATTTAAACTAATTTTGAGTTGCTTATAATAATTAATTCTTTTAGTATTTATAAAAATATTTGCAAAAATTTACTATTAATGAAAGTTTGTTTAGATTATAACTTCAATCAAATTAGTGTTTCAAGTTAGTTAAAAGTATTAATTATTTTATTATAAATTTATTATGTAATTATTAAAAAACAGAATCATTAACGGTTTTGGGTTTAACAGATGGATACAAGTAATTAAATTAGCGTCTTTTTTCAATATTCTTACATCCTTCACTTAGTTGGTTTCGAATTCATGTTCATATTTTATAATACAACTTTATGTTCACATATAATTTAAAATTACATTTTGCCACATTTTTTGCAGGGATATGTCATATAGATCAATATAATGAATTGATATAATATAATAAAAAGGGTAATTTGATGATGATGGTGATGATGATGATAAGAATAATAATATTAATAAAAAATCGTAATAATAATTTTACGTATCTTATGGTTATCAGTTATTAAAATATGTTTATGGTACAGCTTTTAAAATTTAGCACATTATCATTGTAACTTAAAGAAATTATATTCTATAGATATTCACTGGCTATATTGTCAAAACTTATACAAATCAAACTTAAATCTATTCTAACTATATTTTATTTTTAATTTTAATATTTTATATATCTAGTATTTCTAATGATTCATTTGTAAACATAATTTGAATTTTTTCATTTTCGATACATATACTCAATTGCACAGATTTTGTATATAGCTGTACAGGTTCTTTATTATTTTCTTTTCTGATGTATCTTATTCTTATGCGTATTAATAATTGTTCAAAATTTTTTTAAATTAAAATTAATATACCGAAAAGAAATTAAATACTTTAAAATAAATAACGACTTTTAATTTTATTATTAGTTAAAAAGATTCTTTGAATGAATTTAGCAAAATTATATTTACTACCGTTGATATTTTGCAAATACATATATTTTTTACACGCATTATTTTTATTATGCATATTAGTTCCAACAAAATAATAATATGTGGTATTATATTTATTTTAATGTTCGCATTCAAAATTTCGAAATTTACCTGTGGAAGTTTATTTTCTTTTGTTCTGCAGAACGTAACATATTTTCCATGATACAGGTTCTTTTCTATAGATTTTGAGAGAGCTATGTCATTCCAAGCAAGAGCAGACATATGATCTGATAATGTATGGCCTAATGATTGTAATTTATTAAAATTTTTTATTATAATATAAAATATAAAATATAAAATTATTAAAAAGTAATAAATAATTAGAATTACCTTTAAATTCATCTGGTTTATCTATAATAAGCGTTGTAAAAATATCGTCGTAATCAATATAATCTCCTTTTGATATAAGAGTAGATTTGGCTTGTTTAATGATATCAACATTCACATGTTCAGGTGTACGAATGTTATGATAAATTGGCGAATACTGATTTGGAGATATAGGTAATGCAGCAGTTTCTGTTCTATAGATTAATATTAATATTATTTTAATTAAATAAATTATCAGAAAATTTTCCTTTTCAATTAAATTAAAAGCTTCTAAAAGTGCATTCAAATTATTTTTTATTAAAAAGATATTTATTAGTTTATTAATCAATAAACTTACGTAGTTGATAAGAATAGTTTTTCAACTTGTTCCATAGAGATATCTTTAAAACTCTGAATGTTTAATGCATTGAAAAATTCTTTTACTGGTGTCATACTGTAGCAAGCAGCTAAAAGTGTTCTTGGATAGTGTACAATAAAAGCTAAACACATTTCTTGGTAGGCAGCATAGCCACCAAACGTTGGACGGTTTCTATCTAGTGTATTATAAACGCATTCGACAACGAGTTCATCACCCGGCATAATTTTTGCCTCTTGCTCAAGCGTGAATGATTGCTGATAGTCGAAGTTAAAGTGTTTGTCTTGAATGATGGGTGGTAATTCCTTATTATGTCGTATATGCTTTAGACTGAGACGTCGGCCAGCAAGATGAGAATGGAGTACGACAGATACTATGTTGATACCATCTGTATCGAACATCTAGAAACAAATTTAATAATTATTACTTTCGATTCTTTGTTATGTCAGTAATGTATTCATATATACACACACACACACACACACACACACACACACACACATATATATATATATATATATATATATATTATACTTTTTCTATGTTACAATATTAATATGATTAAAATTTTTAAATTATATATTAATCTAAATTAAATTAAATCTAAGGAGACAATTTTGCTATTCAAAAATGAAATATAATAACATTAAAATCAATATTTATTTCGATTATTGTAGAATTAATGAAATGTAATATTTTTATATTTTAAATATTTACATATTTTGAAAATTCATAATATAATTTTCTTATTGCTGTAAAAGAAAAAACTATTTCTTTTATTTTCGTAGTTTTACATTTAATTATATAATTTTATCGTGTAGTTCATAAGAAATGCTATAATTTTTTTAAAAGTTATACGTTTCATAAAAAATTTATATAAACATTAAATTATAAATTAAAGTAATCAAATATTGCATTTTTATAAAAGCGAAGTCCTTTAGTTTTAAACTTAATTTTGTATGTTAAATAAAAAATTTCAATAACTATTATTTAATTAAATTTCTTTCAGTAAATAATAATGTATGCAGGCATTATTTCAAACATATACCGAGGTTAAAAATTAAATAATTAAAACTAGTTGTTTTATCAAAAGAATTTAACAATCGAAATTAATTTTTTATAAAATATATAATCTTAAAGTTTGATTTAAAATTCTATTTTTTTAATGTTTTATTTTTCGATTCAAATTGTATAATTTTAGTAGACTATTGTCTTATTACTTATACTTATTCATTTTTTAAATTTTTAGATTTTACTGAGTACTTCAAAAATATACTTTTGAAAGTATTTATTCGGAAAATTACTGTAGGAAAAGTTGCATATGTTTAATTTATATATTGAAAACAAGAAGTTATATATGGTTATTTTCTATAATATTTCAAATTTGTAAAGTGGACAACTATTAAAACTTAATATACAGTATATTAATATCATACATATACAAATTTATTAAACATTGTTTAAAAGGTAAATCTAAAAAAGTATACCTTATTTGTGCACTGAGGTGTACAATATCCAGCAGTTGCATATTCTTTTTGTTGAGGTGGCACCATGTGTAGTGGACTTACCGCTATTCCAGCAACCAAGATTCCTGCTTCCATTTTTCTAAGATTCGAAGTCAAATATAATCTGACTCCACTACTATCTATGGTTTGTTTGCTTATCTTGTTGTTGTAATGCACTTCAAGCATATAGTAGGAACCTTTCACGTGCTCGGCTATAGGAAAACCTACATGTTCAGGGTACCATTCGCCTTGACTTCCATGAGTCCATGCTAAGACTGGTTGCATACAGCTATCCCATTCCTTGGGCATTGTTGGACTGTAGCAATATGCCCCTGCAAGACGCGCGTGTTCAGAAAGGATAGGTTGTGTTGAGGCACATTCATACAAAATCACATGATGCACTAGAGCTTCGTTGAACTTTTCCACAAGCGGAGTATACTGAAATTTGTCTCCACTTTAGTTCGACAGATTTAATAAATTTTGAAATCTATTAACAGAAGTAATTTATAAGAGTATACGTAGTTATGCCACGCATTTAAAATATTTGAACAAACCAATGAATAATAAATTTATTGAATCAGTTATCTTTGTTATTTTTATTTTTGAGTTTTAAAATCTGTGATTTAATTTTATAAAATATTTAAAAAACAGTTCTCAATAAAATTTAAAGCTACTGCAATCAATGTGTGTTAGTTAAATAATCTAAATAAATAATAATTTAATAATATAATAAGAACAAAAGTAAAGATAATATCAACTAACAAAATTTAAGTGTAATAGACATTGATAATTGAAATTTATATTTAAAGTATTTATATTATATATTTTATATTGAATGTCTATTGAACTCCTATTAATAGTAGTTAAATAGTAAGGCATTTAGAATAGTCAAAAATATTCATAAATTAAATTAATTTAAATTATAGATTTAAATCACATTGTTTCTGTGATTTCAAATTTTTGGATTTTATTAAAGAGTAGCGCCTTAGATCAAATATCCATTTTATTATTTAAATATATGTAATCAACTTACTCCGATCATATGATGTTTCTGCTGTAACTTTGGAGCTTTAAAAATTTTACACCAGTAAATAGTATCTGAAGTATTTGATATAGTAAACTAAAAAAATAAGCATTTTTTATAATAACAATTTTATAATAATTCTAAAATATCAAAAAGTAATGAAGTGTAACAAAGTAAAAAAATGTAATGGAGAAATTTAAGAATCAACAATATATCTTTAAAGGTAATAAATGGATTTATTAGTACGGGGAAATTTATATGCCGGATTATTGTAATATATTTTAAAAATAATTGTATTAAAAAGTATGAATAAAAAAATTATAAATTTTATTTAAATACTTAAGTATAAATAATTACAAAACCATTTAGAAATATTTTACTCATTTAATAAAACAACTCAATATATATTGTAGAATTTACTTATACTTCATAATATTATTTAATAATTATATCAGTGAATTTAAAGTATTGAAAAAGGTGTTGAAGAGTAACATTATTGAACTATTGTAAATATATTATGGGCCCTCACTTGATTAAGCTTAACATCCCACTTAATTAAGTTATTATCATCAATTGTTGGGGGAGGATGAGGCGCTGGTGCTCTTAGCCTTAGAGCACGAACTCCTCGTTTGTTGCCATGGAATCTTGCAGTATTAAGTTCAGGGTCGGTTTGATGCAAAGCCCAAAGCACCCGAATTGTATCACCCTAGAAAATTATTAACGGATTTCTATGAAATTTTCGCTTCAAGATGAAGCAATTTAAACTATTTATTTTTTCCCTTACAATTTTATTTATAAGTTCTCTTCTGTATAAGATTAGTAAATTTAGTAGAACAATTTAACAGTTTATCTAGTTTCTATTTAATATATTTTTATATTTTTAATTTATCAATATTATAATAATTATGTTATTAATATCAAGACCAGTATTATTCAATGCATGAGGTCATTTGTCATTTAAAATTTTTTAAGGAATATAATAAATATGCATACATGATAATCAAAATTGTTTAATATAAGTACTTTTTATTAGATTTTCAAATTTTAGAATTTTTCATCAATACAACTTTTCATTCAATCAAACAATTCATTAACTAATTTTAAATGCAAAATTTCATGATTAATTTACATATTTACAGGTACACAATGATTTTCAATGATTTCATATATTTTAATTAATTAAAAAAATTAATTGCATATAAATATATTGAATTTATAATATTTAATGATAGTATTGCTCTTTACAATGATATGAAATTTTATTATAAATTTTGAAAATTTATTTAATTTTTTAATTATTACTTAATTGCCACTTTTATTTAAAGTTTCATATCTATTTGCATATCATAATTTTTTTTTATTTTTTTTCTAACTTAATTATTTTTTTTGTTTTTTTTTCTAACTTAAGTATTTTTTAGACAATAAAGAATTATATAATTAATTGTAAAAAAATCTTTTTTTAGAGGAAACATACTAATTTAAACTTAATAATTTTATTTTTTAGAAAATAATTAAAAACTTTTTAAAAAAATAACAATGATTAAAAAGTTATTGATAATTTTTTTATTAGATATCCATAGAACTCATTTTAATAAAAATATAACTTAAATTAAAAGTGTTAAATCCTAGAGTTTAACTTCTCTATTCAACGAAAGTCTTTAACTAAGACCTTTATAAAAATTGAGAATTATTTAAGAATAAAATACCGTAAGACTACGATCCTGTGTATCACAAGCATACCATCTTCTCGTAAAAGTAACAATTGTATGAGTGTTATTTTGAAAACCATTAATTAAATGGACGTCCTGTGAGGCGTCTGTTTCGGGGGCCGCATTCATGCTCTTTATTCCATGTGAATCCTAGAAGATAGAGTAGATAGTTAGGTAGAAAAATTTATATAATCCATTAGAGCGATAAGAATTTGTATATGTTCTATAAGTAATATATAAATATAAGTACTGTGTCTCATATTCATTATAATTTTATCACAATTGGAAGCAATTATACACATTATATATAAAGATTTATCTTTGATATTCGCTTTTAATATTTATGAATGATATTTATCTTGTTTGATACGCACTTTATTAATTAATTATTAACAAAAATATTATTCAATTATATTATTCTATTATTATAAATTTTTTGTTTTTATTATTATACTAAATATAAATAACTTACAATTACACACAAATATATATATATATATATATATATACATATATATTATACTTGTTAATCAATTTTTAGAATTAATCAAGACAATATTTAAAAATTGTATCAATCCAATTATTTATCCAATAAGTATATATTGTGAAATAATTACTTTTAATGTTATATATTGGATTAAATTACATATTAAATTTGTTTAAGAAACGCGTAATATAAATAACTTAAAATATTATTAAAACTATGTAATGACTTCTGTATATGTTAATATTTGTGAAGCTTGCAAGTGACAATTTTATAACTCATAACTTAATTTTAAATAATTTTTTTACTTTAAAAAAATATATTTCCTATAAATTATAATTTATTCCAAATAAATGTTGCTGCATATTAATATAATATACAAAATAATTTAAATATAATGATTCTTTTTTTTTTAAGTAATCTAATAGTTGGTTTAACAGTAATAGAAAACTATTTTATTTATTCTAATTATATTATATGCAATAATATATTTAATTTTAATTTGATGTTTGAAGGTATACACTATTACATAGGGATTTTATTCAATTTTGCATTACTTTCACTTTCCTTCAGCTTTCTTTCTTCTCTATTTCTCTCTTATATTTCATTGATTTATATAAAATGATGTAAAGTGGCTCATCTAATGAATAAAAAAATGAATTGTGTTATTTCTAATATGCTTACTTTCAAATAATCCTTAGGATATAGTTTAAAAAACCAACAAAAAATGTAGTTTATAGTTCTTGTTAATTTGAAAATTATGTTTGCCAGAAAATAAGAAAGGATGATTGCTAGTAGAAAAAATAAAAATCTATAAAGTACAGATACTTAGATTTATTTATATAATAATTAAAAGAGTTATGTGATATATCATTTATATTATAATTTTATTTACAGAATAGACTCTATAATAATTTAATATAAAAGATAAATGTAAATTGATTATTTATTATTTCATCAATTAGTGTATTTATTATTATATGCTATCCGATTTATGAGATAATGAAAATTAATCAATCTGATTTGTGATTGAAAATTATTTTATAATTATAAAAATTTAAAAATTGTTTCATAATTGTACTTCTTTAAACACTTTTAGTTAATAAAAGTTAGACAACTGAAAAAATAAATAATAAAATTTTTTAGATTAAATTTGAACAATCTTTTCTAATCATTTAAATGATTTTCAATCAATATATTATTAAAAGTTCAAATAAATAGAAATATAACGCAGCGAAAATGATCAAATTATCAATTTTTTTCATTTAAGAAAAATCATTTATTTTTCTTATTTGTATACCTTTTCTTATAATATACTTCTTTGTAATAAGTATAATTTTAAGTTTTAATATACTAGAAACAAAAATCATCAAAACCATGAGAAGTAATACATAAGAACACAAAACTGAAAATATAATAAAATCACAATGTATTAGTAAGATATAAGTAAAGATTTATTGAATGTAGTTTCTTTTATCTGTCGCCTCTCTTTAATTAAATGCGACTGTTTATAAAGATACGCGTACAGTCTTTTTGTTTGTAATAAGATTATAAACTTATTATTTCGCTTGTAATTCAAATAATATTTGCAATACTTAGTTAATGTAGACTTTCCTATTTTATTTTATTAAGAATTACTCGTAGCTAAAATATTTATATTATTACTTATATACATCAAAGGATTATGGATATTTCTACAAGTGCGAGTATAATATAAAAATTACGGAAAAAAACAAAGTACTGTATTCTATTTTGAATGCCAATAAGTAAATTAAAAAGCTTTATACATCTAACTAAATAATGCGAACTAATCAACATTATTATAATATTGTAATATAATTATCAATATCTAGATATTCACTGAAAGAAAATTAAAATTAAAATTTGTTATTCTGTCGAAGATTGTATGACAATCTTCAAATCACATTTACAATTTAATTTGTTATTCGTACGTCTAATTTACTTAGTTGTGTATTATATATAATATTATTATATATTATACAATTTCATGCACAATTTATTATATAATCAACTAAGTTATTATACAAGTAATAAATATTTAATTTATTAATCTACAAAATATTTTAATAATTCTATATTTTTGAAAGTTTATTTTACAGTTAATTGGTTTATTTCGTTTATTTTACAACTTATAATTTAGTTTATTTTACAAGTACATAAAAAATCAACTTAAAGCAAGTTTGTTAAATTTAAATATTAAAATATAAATGAACATAATGTAATTCTACAGAATCTGATTTAAATGCAGACAAATCTGAACACTACTTTAATCTACAGAATTTTCACTTTTATCTATATTTGTATTTATATCTAAGATTTTATCTATATTTAATTATTCTACTACCATGTATTCTAATCAAACAACAATGAGTAAGTATGAGTATGAGGAAATAAATAAAAACAATACAAGCTTGGAAGATACAAACTTGAAATACTACGATTTTACGAAGTGATTACAGCATGAAAAATAGAAAAGGAAGCTTGATCGATTGAGTTATATATGAAAATTTATGCTGTTGAAATATACAATATGTTTAGAAAGTACATTATTTGTAAAAACCAAATAAAAAAATAGACAGAATACAAGATAAAAAAGTCAATGATATCTTGATAGTAACCAAAAAGATTTTTAAAAGAAAGTAATTGATACAAAGCAATATCAGAATATATACTAACAGAAATCCTGCTTCAGTTTTAAAATTTTGAATTAAACATGAAAAAATTTGTAATCAATATGCTTAAACATAAACTAATACTAATTATATAAATAATAATTTATTCTTTTATATTAAATACTCTTATTGATCAGTAAATGCATTTTAATTTTTATTTGAAAAAAAACTTACTTTCACTCGCACTATTAACTCATGTTGATAGTATCTGTCGGACTTATTAATAATTTTTGTCAAAACTTTATTTTTAAGTAACATCGATATATGTAAGAATATTGTAAAATATATTATTACTGGACTGCAGAACTCATTATATTAAGTTTTTAATAATAAAAATCTATTACTATAAGTATATTTTTATTTATATTTAGATCTCTACATATTAATTACATCGCTTATATTTATGTGATTTAATGTTACAGTTTTAAATCAGAATATTAACCAATTAAAAATGATTGTTTGAAAAATAATATTAATAAAGTTTGATTTAAATGAATGTGTATTATAATAATAATACTTTAAAAATATTATACTCTTGATTTAAAATTTTTTTATTTCATATTGATAAGCATTAATGTTATTTAAATGATATTCACTATGTGCAACGTACAATGTAACCTAAATTTCTTACAAACATAAATATTTTAAAAGGTAATATTAAATAATTACTATAAAATAATTTATTTGTACATTAACATTTTCTTGAATTAAGAAAATTGGTAGAAAATTATCTGTATTGACAATTCGCTGTTTATATATTATATATTTGTTTATATATCTTTAAATATTTATATATTTACTTAATTATTTTTAAATTATAGTAAAATAATTCGATATTAGTTACCATCAATAATTTAATATAAATCGTCTAATTTAGATAAAAAATTTAATGATAATATAATTAAAATTTATTATTATATAATATGCATAATAAATATATAAATATGACTAAAATATAGAGACATTGGGAAATGAAAATAATAACATTTATATTAATTTTTAAATAAATTGATTACTTTGAAATTTATGAAAGTAATAATTATTTACAGTAAATACGATTTGTTTAAAGAATTTTTAGCATACAATGGTTTCCAAATGAAATTCCTAATTCAATTGTTATTAATTCATTAAATGAAAAATTAAATATAAAAACTTTTAAGTTAAAAAATAAGAGCTCAGTGTAAGAATTATCTAAAATATTTAATATTTTTTAAAATAAAATTTTATTTTATTTAGATGGATAATTATAAATTAAAAACCTACTGATTCTACATATACTTAAATTTTACAATTACTTTTGTAAAAGCATTTGTAAATATTATATTTGTGAATGTATACCTTAAAAAGAATTAGTAATCTTCACAATAAATAATATTAATAAGTTAAAGAATGTTATTTAGACTAATAAGTCTAAATCAGTCATTATAGGTATTTAAAAAGCAATTTAGTTGATAGTTTTAGAAACAAATATATTAGAAAATTAGAAACAAATATAAAATTAAATTAATGAATAAAATAAATTAATAAAATAATAAATTAATAAAATGAAATTGAATATTAAAAAGATATTAACTTACCAAAAGAGTGGTTACATGCGTATGGTCATCGACCCACGCAAGAATGATGTCCGCGCCCATCATATAACCTTTATCATTGAATCCCAAACCAATATAGCCGAGAGTTTTACCTGTTAATCTGAAGGTAACATTCTCATCATTACTAGGATCCCATTCCAATACTACATCACCTTCTTCATCCAGTCTTTCATATCTAGTGAATTTTGCCATTTTAGGTTCATTTCTTTTTGATCTTTTATTGATAATAAACGAATCTTTCTCATGTTTTAACTTAAATTTTTTTGGTTCCCGCTTGAATATATTTTTTAAAACAATGGAGTTTAAAGCAGAGTCATCTTTTATTTGTTCAATTTCTGTTTTTGATGACATTGAATAATGAAACTCATTTTGTTTTTTAGCTTTTAATGAAATGTAGTTATCAATATCGGAATTTGCTGTATGTAAATTTGGAGAATCCAGAGAGTTTTTCTTTAGATATAATTTCTTCTTATCTATATTTCAGAAGAAAATTAATATTTGAAAGTCATTAATTACAATCGATATAATATTTTGTTTAGTAAATATTGATTTAAATAAATTTGTTTCTATTAATTTATGGTAATTAAAAAATCAATCACCATTTTTCTTTATGCAGTTACTAATAAAATATATTATATTCTTACAAATACATTATTAATAATGATATAAGTATTAAATACTAAGGCTTGATTTTTATTATAAAATAAAACAATTAAAATTATAATATAATATACTAAATAAATTATTTAACTAATTTGTACATTAATTTATATAAGATGTTTATACTATTTTGGTAATATTATTTTAATTTTTAATACTATTTTGTTTTATTATATCTCAGATAATAGGAAAATGTAAGTTGATTTCATATCGGAAGAATTTACGAGTAAAGCTGTAAATTATTCTATATTTTTGTTGCACCGATGTATTATTCGCATGCAGATCTATATATTTTATCGTATTAATTATAATAACAATAATAATAATATGACATCAATTAGCCTTAAAAAATAATTTTATTATTACATTAAACAAGAAATTAGAGAGATGCCAATGTCTTTATTGTTTAAGTTGTTTTTGAAGAAGTGTAAAGCAGCTTACCTCTCACTTTATCATTGATGTCCAGCATTTGCTTGACCGGATTGGTTACCCGGAAAATTGAGCTCTCGAGGATGCTCCTGCGATAGCGAGACCAAAATTGCAATTTTAGCGCTCGATGTCGACTGTAGACTTGTGTTCTCATGGTTTCGTTCATGTAATGAACATAGAAGTCGAGAAGATCAGTTCCCACCACCAAGAAGGTGCATACAAATGCTAGGGCTCTTAAACACAGCATATTAATTGCTTTTTTTCATCAGAATACACAAGGACAGATTAACTAAATATATTTATGCTTATAAGATTTCACTCGCTTCTATTGCAAGTACAACGAAAATGGAACTAACAACCGGCTTCTATCTCATAAAATATAGCATACTCATATCGTACTTGTTCTACGCACGACTGTTGTGTGAGGACTAATTTCGTTGAGATGCTCCGACCGTTGGGTTACTGAATCAGGAAAGGACGCCAGAGGGTGGGGTAGTGGGAGCAGATGCCCGGGGCCCGAGCAGCAGCTGCTTTTTACTTTTTCAATAGTTTGATGTAACGTACCAACAATTTCAAGTCTGTCTCTGCTGTCGGATCCTTCGCTAAAATGACAATTTTTACTCTTGACATCGCTTTCTTTTAGTGAATTTTCTTCGATGCAACTAGTGACGGAGGACTCATACAAAGTTGTCTATGAGCTGTAGACGTTAAGGGATAGAGAAATAAAACACATTAAAGAGTGTTTACAAGCTCAAAAAAATTAACATTGATTGCTTAAATCAACGCAGTGTCCATTACATGTGCTTTTTATTGAATGAATAAAAGCATCTACTTTCTACTATGTCTTTCCAAGTTTTTCAGATTACAATTATTTATAATTTTCACACATAATATAAAAAAACTGTACAAAAATTAATAATTTTAAGATTAACATTCTTTTCTTAGAAAACAAGGCTCGAATAGTTTCTTACATTAAAGCTTTTAGAAATAAATAATGATAATGTACTTTCAGTTTTCATTCGTTTAATGTTTAACAATTCTATATAATTAATATAATTTATTTAAATAATTTGAATACCTATTTAAAAAATAATTATATGAAGTAATTAAATTTATTTAAAAATAATTTTGTGTATTTATCTAATCTTTTGTAGTTTATAAATTATTTATGCATATTGGCATTAAATTACCCTAAAATTTAATTAAAACTATTATTTTAATTTTATATTCAATTATTATATATGTTTATATAAGCAAGTACAAAGCAATTATAATTATAAGATAAAAAATTTCAAACATTTATTAATCTATTTCTCATCATTATCTCATATCTCACTTTTTCAATAAGTAGCTTTATTTTACTTAGTTATTTCGTTTTTCTAATTTTAAAAGTTCAATCTATTTTATTTTACTTCTAGCAATATAATTAATATTTAACAAATTAAGAATCAAATTTATAAATAGAAATTTTTTTTCCATTTATAGTTTATAAAATTATTTCAACTCATTTATTAAGACATCGTTATAACTAAGTTAAGTATAATAATTAGTAAACTCTAAATGACTAAAATTATAAATATTTAAAAAAAATAAATATTTTTTGGTTAAATACACATGATATATTTAATATTATATATATAATATATATACGAATGCATGCTTGTATCGAAATAATCACATAAAATTATTATTTAAGTTTAGAAGTTAAATTCTTAACTAAATATTGAAAGAAAGAAATTTTGATATAAAGGTGATTACCAATGTATAATTACATCTCTCAATTTTTAACCATATATCTTCGCAAATTAGCTGTAGACATTTTGTAAATTATCTATTTTTGTAAGTGATGATAAAGTAATAGTTAAATTATTTATGTTATTGACACTAAATGAAATATATATATATATATATATATATATATATATAATATAAATATTTTTGCAACATAAATCTATGATGAAATTAATATTAGTAACACTGTATATATATATATATATACATATTGTTTTTTTCATGAATTTTAGTTTAAATAAAATATAAAATAAAAATTAGATTTTAGAAATTAATATTCATGAAATAGTAAATTTATTTTTGAATATTAAAATAAATATTTAATTTATATTATTTTATTTGTATACTATTGTATTAATCGTTAAATGTTAAAGGTTTTTAAAAGTAATTTTAACGCTTTCAAATTTAAACATGTATTTAATTACTTAGCTATTCATTATGATACTAATGTAAATGATTACGAAAATCCACTATAAATGTAGTATTGTTTAAAACATGATATTAATTTTGTTAACAATTGTTTTTATAATTGTTAATTTTGATTCTAAATATTTCTAATATTAACAATCTTTGCAGAATTTACCGTTAGAAAAAAATGAGAACTATGCTATAATATTCTAACCGCAGTTCCTACTGCAGCTACCTGCGCTCTGGAAAGTTCGAATATAGCCCCACGTTTTGAAAATACTTAACGGGCAGTGAGAGGGAGAGAGAGAGAGAGAGAGAGAGTGTGTGTTGGCTTCAGGGAGTGACGGTGAGGGAGGGGGTAGTATGGGCATGCGTAGTAATTTAAAAAGTAAGGTCGGGTAGGTAATTTGATGGCTGTTTCTTGAAGAAGCATTTTTTTTACAACTATGTGAATGAGGAAATTCTAAAGATCCTCTACTTATTATATGATTATAGTATTAAAATATATTATTATTTAATCTAAATTGTAGAAACGAAGCAAAACCTTTTGAGAATGGAATTATAATTTGCATGAGTTTTACTTTTTGCCAAATGTTTACTGCTTATCGTGTTTTAAGAAATAGCACATCGAGGTAGCATATGTATTTTGCATTTACCATACTCATACTTACAAATATCTATTTAAATCGAATGCCATATCAATTAAGCTCATGGAGGACTTCTATTTATTTGTTAAATTTATTAAAGTATTTTATGAATAACCAAAGTTTTTTATTAATTAATTTAATTTTTCATTATTTTTAGTTCTGAAAATAATAAATTTCTCATTAAAATCTTGATAATAAGCAATTAATTAATTATTCTTTATTCACAAGTATCGTATACAAAATGAAGTAAAGATTAATATGTTTACAACGTTAATAGAATTTATGGTTATTAATCGATTTTCAAACGTGCATATTCTCAATTAATAAAACAAAACTAAAGTAATTTATGTCACTCTCTATAAAATAGCTTAATTAAAATAGCAACAATTTTCTTTATTATTGAATCTGTGCTCACAATTAATCATATTTCTAGTCCATTAGAAAGTAAACTTAGTTCATCAATCAGTAACTAATATGTGTTCTACTTATTGTTTATAAAAATAGTAAACATACGGAATTTTTATCTAGTTCAATATTAATCTTATGCTAAAAAATATTTATATTTTAATTAATTTTGTATATATGTAATCGTATAGATATTGTTTCATTTATTGAATTTAAATTTTATAAGATGATGCTAGGATTATAATTAAAACAAAAATTACTTATTTTGTAACTTATACATTTTAATTCGTAAAAATAAATATTTGAAATCAAGTCTTGTTATTATTAAAATTTTAATTATTCCTTTATCTATACATATTTGAGATAATTATTAATTTCAATAACCAATCATTTTTTGGCTAGAATTTTACATAGAATATTTTTAAATCCTTTATAATTTTTTAAATGATTTACATTTGGTCTTCTTCTTTAGAAATATAAATAAAACATTTATTTAAAATATTTAAAAAAAATTTATTTTACAGTATTTTAAAAATATAAATAATAACATAAATCATTGCTTTATCCGAAAAATAAAGGTAAATTAAATCTCGGATAGTTTGTAAATATCATAATTTTAATGATCGTATAATTATTATTCTACATTCTACGAAATATATTAAAAATATATGAAAATATACCATTATACAAATATACTGTTACAAAGTAATTTTATTTTATCAATAATATTTTAATAGGAGCTATTGTTAAAAAATATAAATATGAGTGAAGCTTTAAAAATTGTTTATAAACATTATAATATTGTACTTTATCGAGCAATTATTATTCAGTAAGTTTTATGTAGTTTCAGTAGTATAGTTAAAAATTTTAGGGAAATCGAATTTGTTTTTTATAAGTATAGTATTTACAAATTATTTTACATTAGCTTCTGGATAAATAAAGTCGTTTAAGTATATTATTAAATGATTAATAAAAATAAAACATAAATAATAAATAAGTTTATGAAATAAATTTATTCATACTCAGAATATTGTAATTTAAAATTTAATTTTTATTTCTGTTTATATATATAATATTGATTAAATTAACAAAATGATTATTTAAATTATTATTTAGAGTTTTTGTTTAAAATGAAAAGAGTTATAATAAAAAAAGGAATTTATTTTACGAGTACAAACTTTTTACTTGATATATTGATAATGAAATTTCATAAATCAGTTTTCTTCTGTGTAGATATAGATATATGAAAAATACGCTGTTTATTTTCTTAATATTTTTTGTTTGAAGTGATCACTCGATCTTTAATATGTATTTTATTAAAAGTATAATGAACCTAGGTTATTTAGTACAAGATTACAGATCGTTATAGAATATAAAAAATTCAAGCCTTTCATAGATTTAGAAAAACTTTCAATGCTATTATTTAAAATACTTATAAAGGTTATAATATGTTATTATGGTTATAAAAACTTTTTCTAAATAGAATTATGACTTATTTTTTTGCTTATTAATTAATACTTTGTTTATTAATTATGTTTTTATTTTTTAAAACAGAATGTATTAAACTATATATTTTCAATAAGATAAAGTTTTAAAATCTATTATTAATATTATATTTTTTATAATACGTTAAATACATTACATATATTAATATTTACAAAATTGATATTTACAAGTATTGAATAAATACATATAGTGTATTTGTGCACGTACTGAAAAAATTACTAAATTTTCTTTATTTTGGAATTAGTTTTGCTTTTTTCTCTGAAAATTATCAAATTTAAAAATATATGTATATATAAATAAATAAAATTAAACGTTATTCTACTATTTTTCTAATGTTTCAAGTAGTAAAAAATCATGATAAACGAGTATAAGATTTTAGTTAGCAATGAAAAAAAAATTAATGAAATCAATAAAATAAAATATAATATATGTACTTAAAAAGTTATAAGTATTTGAGTAAAAATACTATTTAGATGATATAATCATGAAATTTTTAAATTATTTTATAATAATTGGTATAAAATTACATTTTGTCTGATTTCTGTATTCGAGATAACGGCAGAGAGCAAGGATAAATGTCTTCGGTAAATAACTCATAAGATGTTCTACGAATGAATAGTAAAAATATAAAGTTAAAAATAAAAGAATAAAAATAAAGAAAAAGAAGAAAAAAA